GGGGGGGGGTAAGGTTTTTCTTTTAGATGTTCTTAGATTCTATCTGAGCTCCTGTTTGGAAATAAATAAATTTTTGACACACTCACTAAACATCCCATCGATATTACAGAACCTGGTTCAGTAATCGGTACCCATTTTTGCACAGAATCCATTTTCTATTCTAGCTCTACCCTTTGTAATATTGGGCAGGGCACGTATAGATTCACAGCTAGTAAACTGTCATAGGCCCACTGAAATCTAGAGCTATTACAATTTTGCATCTGTTGGGAGACCTGCCTCTTAGCCAACTCTAGAAAATCAAAGATTTCATGTATTACATCTCAAATTTCTACTAGAAGCTGTGTAGGAACTGTAGATTGTTCATCTGAAAAGCCTACAAACACTTTGCATTGTCAATAATATGTTTATGCATATATGCATTACATTCAAGATTAGAGTTTTAATATAAAAATGGAGTAATATTTAATAGGTCGACCAACTCTGATTATTTTTATACAGCTTTATGAATTTGCTCAATCATGTGAACACCCCAAAGTTTATTGGAACAAGCTGTGAGCAGACAGGTTGAGGAATATTACAGAAACTTTATCAGAACTTTATTCTCAAAAATGCTCCTGTTGCAAAAGACTTTTCCTGTATCTGATGCATAAAGAAAGTAAGGGTACTTGAATAGAAAATAGATATGCCATAAAACAGAACTTAAAAGTCAAAGAAAGCTTTGGATACAAGAAAGAAACAAGTCACTGGTAAGGAGAAAGGACCGATCTGACCACATGGCCAGCCAAGGACAAGGAAAGCCAAAAGATGGTCTAAACTCAGGGACCCAGAAGGGAAGACATGAATAAAAACACATGAAAGATGACAGCAGGGACACTATAAGGAAATAAACACTCCACAGTTATGGGGATGTTGTGCGGATTAACCAAAGCAGAGATTACAATATCTATTGTGCTTAAAACCATTATTGGCAATAGTCAACAGAAGCAGCTCCCAGATATTTGCTAAGAAGGACATATGCGCAGCTGGAAACATTTGGCTATTTAAACATTTACTATTTAATGCCTTGAAGTATCTTGCATAACACTGGAGTTTCCCACAGCTTGGGAGCCCCAGCTTCTGGGAAAGTGTTGCTCTGTGGTGATCTGTATGTGTAAGGTGGTCTCTGACATATCTGCAGCCCCAGAGTACGCTTAGAAACACTGTTCCCTCCCTCAAACCTAATTTTTGTATTCACAAAGGAGAAAATAACGTTCACTGTTATTTTAATCCTCTTATTGTGCAAAACAAAAAAATATTGAAAGGGTACAAGTTAAACCGTATCCTAAAAGTAAGAAGAAGAGGAAAAAAATCTGGACGTGATTAAGATAATTCAGTAACAGCAAGGAGATTTAATTTTCACTTGAATTCCTACATTTTACACTTTTGTCATCTTTCCCATTGAAATTCTGCTAAGGAAATAATATTTATTGAAGGAGAAAGAAGATTTCATTTTTTGAAGTGGCTATACACATAAAAATAATAGTGAAACAAATATTAATCTGATAGCTTGACTAAACATACCTACACTTCTATATTGCCCATTTAGAAAGTACAGTAACTTAGCTATCACTTTTTCATCTGATCACTGAAGTCCTCTCTTGGCTTGCTTTCTTTCTTTTTTTTTTTTTTTAAAGTTTCAGTGAAACTGAATCTTATCTTGTTAAAATAACGACTTGATATCGCATATGCTTACAAATAAAATTTTATATACTCTCTATACAGAGGCATCTGATAGCAGTAATGTATTTCATAACCTCTAACAACAATTAAAAACAAACAAAGAATAAAAACCCAAAATAAGGCGTGCCTATAGCTTACAAATCATTCAAAACGCCCTGGGTAAAGTACCAACAGCATTTATTAAGCCATCATAATCAGCACCATCAATCAGGTTACAGTCCAGGCAAGCACAGATTTGAAATCTCTGTGTGAATGCAGCAATCAACTGAGGAGGACATTTTATTACTGCACTCTGTTTTTTAGACAGCTGAATTTCCCAGGGCAACTAACCTTTCCGTTTAAATTGCTAATCTTCATTTCAAAACTTATTTTAGATTAAGCTCAGGTATTTTTATACTCAACTGTTGAAAGAGTTTAAGCTATCTGTTACATTTTATGAGGAAATGACTGCATTCACTAGTTAAGGCTGCCTGAACTTTCTGCATCCAGAAGTCACGTACCATAACCTTTAAATAGTTGATAGCCAAACGACAGCAACCATGCACATTAGGGAGGAAGCAGCTCAAGGCTAGGGGAGATAGTGGTTTTCAAGGTGTCCCACTGTTCCCCTGAGGATTGGGACTGAGGAGCAAACACAGCTCAACCCAACAAGGTCAACCTCGCCAATCCCTCATCTTCCACTTTGCCTCTTATCAGGGAATTTCTATTATTTAGCAGACCGCATGGCAGCACAGACTCATTATCAGCCTAATGTTACAGTCCATGGGTAGCGGCTGCACTTCAGCTGAATACGGTCAAGGAGTCACAGGGTGGCTGTCACTGAACTATTTGCTACATCTCCAGTATGTGAGAGGATTACAAATTCCTGTTTCTTGCTTTGAGAAAAATAATTAGCAAGATTTACTTGTGGATAAAACTGGTTATAAAGTTGAGCATGAGCTGCATGCATGTTTTATGACTTGTGCCGATAAGCCGTCTCCCTACTTCTTAAAATTTAACCTTGGAAAGATATAATAACTTCTGCAGAAAAAAAAAAAGTCAAACATGTTAAAGCAATGAACAATTTTACATAAAATCTGACTGTAACTTACTTAACAAAATAAATGAAAAAAATGCATTTGTGCCTTGTTGCAGTTTATAGCATTTCAAATAATTTATTTTTGAAAGTGTTTAATGGCTACTGCAGGTCAGTAATACTTTCTTTAAATTGAATATACAGAGGAAGCTACGACAGTTTTACATATGACAGACAGAAGCAGTTCCAAAATGGCAGATACTCCCAGGCTAGCCAGGGACGGTCTGTGCACTTCTCCACTATGTTACATACGTGAGATGACTTTTTTTTTTTTTTAAATAACTGTAAATATTCTGAAGAAGTCTTATGTCAACGCCCACATTCTCTTAACTTATGAAATCAACCAACATTTAAAAACTTTATAAATAAATATTTAAAGTAAGAGTCAGACAACGTTAGTATGACATATGGTCATTTCACCTAGAGCAAAAAGCAATTTTCATACAGCTTTATCTATTCATTTACAGTTCTCAAAATATTTTACATAATATAACCAATATTGGAACAATATCCAGGCATTTTTTAAATCCTAAATATAATTTTTACAAAGAGATTTCTAATGAAGGAAAGAAATGTTAAATCCCTTCATAGGCTTCACGTGTATTTTTGGGAGTCTCTTCAATGAGTTAGGAGATAGACGTTATTCTTAATAATGGTACACTTGCAAGATTACTTAACGGAGTTGAACTTCCTTGTGGACATGCAAAGTCAGTGGCAGACAGCTGGAGAATAGGTTGTAAGAGAGTGCCACAGTCCAACTGGTAAGGCAAAATGTCTAGCGCCGACTAATTAGCGTTTGAGGGTGACTGAGCACTGGAACAGGTTGCCCAGAGAGGCTGTGGAGTCTCCTTCCCGGGAGATATTCAAAACCCGCCTGGACGCAATCCTGAGCGATGTGCTCTAGATGACCCTGCTTGAGCAGGGGGGTTGGACTAGATGATCTCCAGAGGTCCTTTCCAACCTCAAACGTTCTGTGATTCTGCGACTCTCCTGAAAACGACGACGTCTACCTGCTAGTATAAAGAGGCTCATGAAATGAACTCATTAAACAGCTCTTTCCTGAAGAAATCTCTGAGCCATCCAGCAATATTAACTCTATGATGAAACTGGTATCTGCATTATAAATCAGCACCCAAGCAATTTGTTGAACCTCTTTTCAGTAGTTCATTCCAGAACTCAGACGGCATAACAGCCTTCATCATTTCACTCACAATTATCCATTTACCCCTTCTAACTCATCTCTTTACAAGAGCAAATGATTTGGAAGAGAAAATGAGCGAGACTTGCAGG